CTGAAATCGCGCTCCTGACGCTGAAATCGCGTTCGGTGTGAACGCACCATTAAACTTTCCAAAATGTTTCCAGTGACGTTTCCTTTAATATTAGCATTCATGCTAACTTCATTTGACCTCTCTTCCTCCAGTTCTACGTAAATTCTCATCTTCCTCATATTTATCAAGATCCTCATCGTCTTTCTACACAGAGCTCGAGAATTTACCGACAACACTCCTCAGAAAAAAACGCAGCCATCGTTGTCCAAGAAGATTCGCAACAAAATCAAAGTTTTAGCTTTCTAATTTGACACAAAGCAGCCCATCAAAATAAAAGCTGTAAAACGCAACGTTTAGYGCAGTGTGACTATTGCACCCACACATTGTGATGTTCAAATTATATATCGTGCCAATTTTAGTTTTCAAATTCAGATCACCCTGGCAYAGATAAGATGTTTACACTGACACAAAAACCCAAACTATCCCTTTAAACTCCTCTGACTTGGAGCTTCCTGTGCAGCGACTCTATTTACAGTTTGCATTAAACAGAATCAATATAAACAGTGAGAGGCAGAGAGCAGTGGATGAGCTTCACTGTGTCCTCTGCTGCTGGCTTCTAATGGCGTCTGACAGCTTTATGAGAGACTGACTGCTGTAACAATTGCATTGGGAGGATGAACACAGACAAGAGAAACAGCCATTACAGCAGCCGGCTCGTCCACGGTGAGAGAGCGATGTGGCTGTCTGCCAGAGAACTGTAACACACAACCCAATCACCGCCTCTCCTCTGTGTCACACAGGGCTGAGCACCACCGTCAACCAATAAATTCAATTTCAGCCTCTCTGCAGCACCTGTTGCAGCTCCGTCCCTCAGACACGGAGGTCAATCCACGACAACCACACTGCTTTTTATCTCCATGTCTCTGTGTGTTTGTTTATACTGYTGGTAAAATATCAAGAACCATTTGCCAGAAGTAATCCCTGGAGTCAATCTCTGTCCAATATGGCTGCCACAGCTAAGCAACCTTAGAAAGCATGAGCACTGGCCATAACTCTGCCATTTTTATTGATTGAGCTTAAATTTGGTCTGGTAGATGCTGAGACCCAACACAAACTCTAAGGCAGTGTTCCCCAAAGTTGGGGTCGGGACACAATGTGGGGTCCTGAAACATCAAGGTGGGGTCCTGACA